TGTGGCTGAGTAATAGGGTAGGAAATTGCTGTGAAATATGATATGAGCCATATGTCGTGATATGTGAATATTACATATGAGTGTGGATGGGGGAAAGGGTGTCTACCCGAAATTAATGAATGTGAATTATATGCTAGATGTTGATTGATAGGATAAGGGCTTGTATACCGAGCATTGTGAATGGGGCACTTGTGCCGTATATATATATATATATTGAATGAATGTTGTTAAAAATGTGGGCTCGATGGCCGTGTAATATGAAATGAATGTAGGCCTATTATCGTGTATTTGAATGTAATGTGGGCTATGTGCCTTGTGTAAACATGATTATTGCATGCGTGAATGGAATATGTGTGAATGAGCATGTTAGCGCCGTTGTAATGTATTGTGAATGTTTCAGCGATACACTGGGTGTGGAAGATGAGGACGGTAGAAATACCTTAGGAAAGGAGGAGTGGTGGTGACACCGACTGTGGAACAGGTGCACCACGGGCCACACACTCTCTTCCTGACTAGACCTCTGACCACTATCTTTGCTGAGCGACCCATGATTGCCCATGTGGTATCCGTGAGGCAGGGATAACCAGCGACCATTCATGGTGTAAATCTGTGATCACAATGCCACAGAGAGTATGGCTAGCGTGCATATGCATGGGTTTGTGTATCGTACTTATGGATGTGAAATGTTGCCGATGTCGTGAGTGCATCGGTGTTAAATTGACATGAGTTGTGTGATAATGTTGTCGTGATTGTGTTTGTTTAATGTATTGGAAATGTGCTGGAGGTGAAACTCTATGTTGACTGTGTGCTTTGGGTAGTGTAGAGTACCCACCCTTATATTCATTTTTCAGGTAATCAAGACGATCAATACCGGACTCAGTGAAGGGGTGGGTGGAACTGCTATAGGACTTAGATTTTATTTTGAAATTGTTGTAATTGAACTAGTCCTGTAGCAGTTATTTGATATTAATTTGTAACCCTTCACTTATTTCAAAATCTTTTATGAAAATTTGGTTATCTGATTTGTGAAATTATTATTTAATTGAAATTAAATTTAAGGTGTTACAATTTTGGTATCAGAGCAGTTCATCCAAATCGGACTGGGGTATCGGGCTGAAGCATCCAAGATAAGTGTTAATTGTTTTGTTTGCCTGAATTATAAATGTATTATTGATTTAACGTGTTGGACTGTGACTGTTAAATTGTGAAGCTAGATTAAATATGTTTGGTAAAGGTAGAGGTAGAGGTAGAGGTAGAGGTAGAAGAGCTAGAGACATCAATGATCTCATGGAACGCATGGCTCAGATTCTGGAAGCCATGGTGCACAATTAAGGCGGAGAGCTAGCTGAGTATAGAGGGTTATCTGCCTTCACTAGGCATGATCCTCCCAAGTTTGAGGGGGCATTCAACCCTGAAGGAGCTCAAAGGTGGGTGGCCGATATGGAGAAGATCTTCAATGCAATGGGGTGCCGTGAAGAGAACAAGGTTGCCTATGCCACCTATTTACTGTGTGGGGAGGCTGAGGACTGGTGGAGGTTTGCCAGTCAGACCTTGCCACAAGAAGATGGCTATGTTTAGTGGGAAACATTGAAGACCATCTTCCTAGGGAACTACTTTCCCCGAGACCTGAGGAAGCAGAAATCTAGGGAGTTCCTTGAGCTAAAGCAAGGAAACATGACTGTGGGGAGTATGTAGTTAAGTTCCAAGAGTTGATGAAATATTGGCCTCACTACCAGCATGGTGATGGAGAGGAGGATCTGTGTGCTCAATTTGAGCATTGATTGAGGTCAGACATTCGGGATGCAGTCAGTGTGTTTCAACTGACGGACTTGCTCACTCTGGTGAGCAAGAGCAAAATCTTTGAAGCTAACTCAAGAGGGAAGACGATGGACACTAGGGGAGCCGGCCCAGTGAGGCAAGATAGAAGACCCCCTAGGTTCTCAAGGGAATGTACTTGGGTTCGAATCGCTCTCAATCTCGAGAGAGTTCATTTCAAGAGAGGAGTAGTGGAAGCAGTTCAGGATCGAGTTCTTTCAGAGGGCCACTTAAGTGCTTCAGGTGTGGGGGGCCACACATGGTGAAAGACTGCCCACAGTCAAGGATAACTTGTAGCAAATGTGAGAAGTCGGGGCACGTTGCAAATGAGTGCTAGGCCGCCAAAAGGGGTGGTAGTGCAAATGCAGCTCAGAGGCCAGAATCAAGAGAAAGTACGGGGCCAAGTACGGGACAGAAGTCGAGCATTCCTGGTAGAGTCTTTGCTATGAGCGAGGCAGAGGCTTCACAATCAGAAGAGCTGATAAATGCATTATTAAGGGTCGATTGCTTGATGTGCTGTTTGATTCGGGTGCTACGCACTCTTTTATATCTATGAACTGTGTGAAGAGTCTGGGCTTGTATATGATTGAATTGTCATGTAATATTGTGGTGACTACCCCTATGGGTAAGCCGGTTGTAACGTCATGGGTGTGTCTGGGGTGTGCAATAATGGCACATGGTAGGGAGTTCAAGGTGGACTTAATTTGTTTACCTCTTTCTCAACTGGATGTAATTCTGGGAATGGATTGGCTTGCTGCCAACCATGTGCTGCTGGACTGTAGCGAGATGACTTTGATCTTCGGTGAGACAATGACAGAGGTTCCAAGGCTTATGAGCCAGGGAGCGTGGAAGAATGGGTAAATGCCAAGGCTTTCATGGTTATGTTCTCAATGGAAGCCGAAAGTGTAGCGAAGCCGGAGTATATTCCGGTGGTGAGGGATTTCTTGGAGGTTTTTCCCGAAGATGTTTCTGAGCTACAGCTTGAGAGGGAGATAGAGTTTGTTATTGACCTCATTCCGAGAGCAAGTCTGATTTCTGTGGCACCTTATAGGATGTCACCAATAAAATTGGCAGAGGTCAAGAAACAAGTGGAAGACTTACTGCAGAAACGGTTTGTAAGACCGAGTGTGTCACCGTGGGGAGCACCAGTGTTCTTGGTGAAAAAGAAAGATGGAAGCATGAGGATGTGTGTAGATTATCGGCAGTTGAACAAGGTAACAGTCAAGAACAAGTATCCACTTCTAAGGATCGATGATTTTATGGACCAATTAAGGGGAGCAGCAGTGTTCTCGAAGATTAACCTGAGGTCGGGGTATCATCAGATCAAAGTAAAGAATACAGATATACCTAAAACTGCGTTCAGGACGCGGTATGGTCACTATGCATATTTGGTGATGTCGTTTGGGGTGACCAATGCGCCTGCGGTGTTCATGGACTACATGAACAGGATCTTCCATGAGTTTTTGGATAAGTTTGTGATGGTGTTCATCGACGACATCCTAATTTATTCAAAGACTCAATAAGAGCACGCCGAGCAATTGAGGACTATCCTGCAAATTCTGAAGGAGAGGCAGCTGTATGCGAAATTCTCCAAATGTGAGTTATGGTTGTCAGAGATCCAATTTCTGGGACATGTAGTATCAAAGGAAGGGATCATGGTAGACCCTGCAAAAGTGGAAGCAGTGGCTGAGTGGTCGAGGCCGACGAATGTGACAGAGGTGCGCAATTTCCTTGGATTGGCAGGCTATTATTGGAAATTCATTGAGGAATTTTCTAAGATAGCGTTGCCCTTAACGAAGTTGACCCGCAAGGGAAAGGAGTTCAAGTGGACCAAGGGGTGTGAAGCTAGTTTCTTGGAGCTGAAGATAAAGCTGACTTCGGCGCCGGTGTTAGTGCTGCCTAACCGGAGCAGGAGTTTGATGTGTATTATGATGCATCCGGGCAAGGACTTGGTTGTGTTTTAATGCAAGACGGGCGAGTGGTCGCCTATGTCTTGAGGCAGTTGCGCCTGCATGAAGTCAACTATCCGACACACGATCTGGAGTTAGCCGCGGTAGTTTTTGCTCTTAAGGTATGGAGGCACTACCTGTATGGAGCGAGGTTTGAGGTGTTCAGTGACCACAAAAGCTTGAAGTATCTATTTGATCAAAAGGAGCTGAATATGCGGCAGAGGAGATGGATGGAATTCTTCAAGGACTACGACTTCACATTGTCTTACCACCCTGGCAAGGCAAATGTGGTAGCCGATGCATTGAGCCAGAAATCATTGCATGTGGCAGCAATGATGGTGAAAGAAATGGAGTTAATTGAGGAATTTCGGGACATAAATTTGGCCATGAAAGTGAGACCGAGGAGCTTGTACCTCGGAGAGACAACGATTCATAACGACTTTTTGGTGTACGTCTGAGATGCTCAGTAGGGAGATGTCTTCCTGCAAGACATGATGAGGCAAAGGATGAGGGAAAAGACTTGGAGTTCCACCATGATGAGAACGGATGATCAAGTTCCAGAACCGAGTGTGCATTCCTCAAGTGGATGAGCTAAGACAGATGGTGCTAGAGGAAGCACATAAAAGCAGGATGAGTTTTCACCATGGTGCAACTAAAATGTATCAAAATCTTCGGAAGAGTTTTTGGTGGAATGGAATGAAGAGGGACGTGGCTGAATATGAGGCTAAATGCCTAACTTGCCAAAAGGCGAAGGTAGAGCACCAGCGTCCACCTGAGTTGTTGCAACCGTTAGATATCCCCAAGCGAAAATGAGATAGTATTTCATCAGACTTTGTTTCTGGGCTGCCTAAGACCAGGAACAACCATGACGCCATCTGGGTGATAGTGGATCAATTGACCAAGGCTGCATACTTTCTCCCGGTCAAGATGAAGTATAAGTTGGAAAGACTTACGGAGTTATATGTGCGGGAGCTGCGTGAAGTGCCGACTAGTGTGGTGTTAGATAGAGATCCGAGGTTTACCTCGAGGTTTTGGGAGAGCCTGCAACGGGCATTGCGGACTAAGCTGAGACTGAGCTTGGCTTATCACCCATAGACTGACGGTCAGACTGAGCGGACCATCCAGTCCCTGGAGGACTTGTTGAGGGATTGTGTGCTTGAACAGCAGGGAACTTGAGAAGAGTGCTTGCCACTAGTGGAATTCACGTACAACAACAGTTATCATGCCAGTATTGGAATGACACCGTTTGAGGCCTTGTATGGGCGGAGGTGCAGGACTCTGTTATGTTGGTATGAAACTGGAGAGGTGACTCTATGTGTGTCGGATATGATCCAAAGGCAGAATGAGCAAATCAGAATGATCAGAGATAAAATGAAGGCTGCCCAAGATCGACAGAAGAGTTACTATAATAGGAGACGGAAGCCGTTGGAGTTCCAATTGGGTGACCATGTGTTTCTAAAGGTCTCACCTATAACCAGAGTGGGGAGAGCTCTGAAGTCTCAGAAGTTGTCTCCTAAGTTTATTGGGCTGTTTGAAGTGTTGAGTAGGATTGGTCCTGCTACATATCGGATCGTGTTGCCTCCGAATCTCTCGAATCTACATCTGGTGTTCCATGTGTCGCAGCTTAGGCAATATGTGTCGGATCCGTCCCATGTGATAGATCTTGACCCGGTTCAAGTGAGAGAAGACTTGTCGTATGATGTGTACCCGGTGAGGATTGCTGACCACTGTGTTAAACAACTGAGGGACAAGGACATCTCATTGGTGAAGGTAATATGGAGCTTAAGTGATGAGGGAGATGTCACATGGGAAACGAAGAGTAGAATGAGAGAATTGTACCCCGAGGTTGTTTTTGTAGTTTGTGAGTGTTTGGTTGAATTTCAGGGACAAAATTCCTTAAAGGAAGGGAGAGTTGTAATGCCCCAAATTTTTGTAATATTAATTATGGTATTTATATAAATCTAAATGCATATATGTGTGTGTGTTGACTTACTTGGTAATGATGTTTATGTGTATTAAGTATATATACGTGTATATTGTGTGTATGCATGACTAGATAGGACTAAAATGGGCTAAGTGTCTAAGTGCATGGAGTAATTCTGGGTTGGTTTCGCTACAGCGAGAGAATTCTCGCTGCAACGAGAGGGCCCTGGGAGGAAGAACCAGAACTGTCGCATTCTCGCTGTAGCGAGAGACGTCTCGCTGTAGCGACAGAACAACAGTTTGGGATGCATTTCTGGGTGCAATCTCACTGTAGCGAGAGGGTCTCGCTGTAGCGAGATTTTGCAGAAACCAGGGTGCAGTTTCGTCTGATATTTTTGCTGCAGCGAGAATATCTCGTTGTAGCGAGAGTGTCGCGACCAGGAAATGATTTAAAGGGAGTTAGGGTTCGGAGAGGGTTATTTCTCCCTCTCCCTTCGAATTCCCTTCGATCCTCTCATTCCCAAACCTTTTTCTACCAATTATATTGCCTCCAAAGCCGTTCGGAAGCTTGATTGAAGGTTGAATCTGTGTAGGAAACGCTTGGAGGTGAGTTTTAATGGTTAGGGTTTCGTTTCTCATCTCCTTTTCTTTGTTTCTAGGTTTCCTTGGGTTCTTATAGAGTTCTTCCATGTGTTTTAGGCTGCAATCTGTGTAGGGAGCACATCCGTGGTCGAATCCGAGTGTGGGTCTTCAAATTTAAGGTAAAGGGGACTCTACCTATCTCAAATGTGTTGTAATCCTTGCATGTTTTATTAATTAATGCAATGTGGCTGAGATAGAGAGTAGGAATTGTGTGTTTAATGAAAATTGGTGTGCAATGTGATGTATGCTAGAATAGTTAGGCCCTGTGGGAGGTGATTGTGTGTGATTGAATGCTATTGATTGGTAAATTAATGTTATTGTTAATGAATGAAGGCTATGTGTTGTATATTGTGGATAAAATGTGGGCTATGTGCCGAGTATTGTGAATTGAATATAGGCTGTGTGTCGTGTGCAAGCATGAATATTACGTGCGTGAATGAAATGTATGTGAATGGGGCGTATAGCGCCGTTGTAATGTGCTGTGAATGGTTCAGTGATATACTGGGGGTGTGGAAGATGAGGATGGTAGAAATACCTTGGGAAGAGGGAGTGGTGGTAACACCGACTGTGGAACGGATGCACCACAGGCCACACACTCTCTTTTTAACTAGACCTCTGACCACTATCTTTGTTGAGCGACCAGTGACTGTCCACATGGTATCCGTGAGGCGAGGGTAACCGGCGACCATTCATGATGTAAATCTGTGATCACAGTGCCACAATGAGTATGGCTAGCGTGCATATGCATGGGTTTGTGTATCGTACTTATGGATGTGAAATGCTGCCATGTTGCCGATGCCATGAATGCATCGGTGTTAAATTGACATGAGTTGTGTGATAATGTTGTTGTGATTGTATTTGTTTAATGTATTGGAAATGTGCTAGAGGTGAGACTCTACATTGACTGTGTTTTGGGTAGTGTAGAGTATTCACCCTTACATTCATTTTTCAGGTAATCAAGACGATCAGCACCGGACTCAGTGAAGGGGTGGGTGGAACTTCTATAAGTCTTAGATTTTATTTTGAAATTGTTGTAATTGAACTACTCTTGTAACAGTTATTTGATATTAATTTGTAACCCTTCACTTATTTTGAAATCTTTTATGGCGTCCTATTCACTAAGATTATCCATAACCACAATGTTAACTATATAGGAGGTGAATAAGTTATAGTTGGAGCAAAGTTCATATTCACTAATGTCAAGCAAACGAGGATTCATATGTTTGCCCTTGGCTAAAGAAGGTGTTGCCATAATCATCATCATTAAAGAAGATAATGACAAAAAAAAATTGATAACTTTACAATAGGTTTAAAACAATCAATAAAAAAGTTAAATAGGAGAATTTTATAAAGCTTCTCAAAAAATAAAGAAGTATAAGTTATTAGGAATTTTATATTGATTTTTTTCTTATCAGGAATTATTTAGAGAAGTATAAGTTAACTTAAAGAGAAGTTTTTTTTTTTTTGTATGCAAATTTTCGTTCTCTTATAAGAATTTCTCTATAAATTTACCTAGACTGTACTCTTATATAATTGGAGGCTAGATAGCTCCAAAGCAAACCTTATGCTTTGGTTCTCAACTACTTGATGTACCTTTACTTTTTATTACTCTACAAGCTTATTAGAAGACTCTTCATCAAAGCATTATCCACTACCACAACAGATGAAAATAGACCAAACTATCTGACAGATGCTATGGTCTAGCCTTTTTAAGGCCTAGCCTGGTTTGGTTTATTTAAGTAATAGGCTTAATTTAAGCTCTTTAAAATATTTAATTAATTAAATAAATCAGATTTAAACTTAAGAAAAAGTATATTATGTCTATTAAAATAGCTTATTTAAATTCATAAAACTTATAATAATATACTAAACAATTATATATCAAAATTATAATATAATATAATATTAAATAAATTAAATTTTAAAATAAACAAAATCATAAATCATAAATCCTAATCCTTTTTATTGAAGTTAAAGAGTATCCATACTACATAACTTCTAAAAAAGAGAGTCATGTTCGCTAGAGTTTTTTGTATTACTGTTATGGATATGTACATAAACACTTATTTACATTTATATTATTTTAATTACAGATTTGATGAAATAAGAATATATAATTTTATTATACATATTCAAGGTGTTGAACCATTTTTTATAACTTATTTAGATATAAGTCTCATAGTCTTTATAAAGATATATCTATTTAAATAGTTTAATAACTTATTTATAAAAATGTTTAATAATCTATTAAAAATCTTAATATAGAGTAAGTCATTAAAAAAAACTAATAGGTCAAAATAAACTTTTAAAATTGTCAAGTTAGGCTTAATAAAATGTCTATAACAAATAATATATTAGACTTAAATTTTAAAATTATTAAATAGGCTAAACTTATTTATACAAAACATAACCTAACTCAACCTATTGTCATTCCTAACTACCGCAACTAGTAAGTCTAGACAACCAACTTAGACCTACTGATTTTCAAGAGCACACTCTAACCTTCGATGGAAAACTGCACATCATTGAATTATGATCAATCAGTGGATAGATTATTTACTTTAACTTATTTTACGAAGTCAAATTTTGTTTAACTCAACCTAGCTCTAACCCCTAATGAGCCAAGAGCTCATAGGTTCGGATTCATATTGAAGACTCTGGTCTCACCTACATGTGGTGCTCCTGAAAGACTAGAACATATAACAAACAAGTTCATATTCAACCTACACAAGGACCACCAAGGAAAAGTAATGCCTTCTAAAATAAGAACCACTAGTACCTCTTCCCTTTATAATAACGTAACTTGAATCATGTTCCAAGGCCCAAAAGATACGCTTTGAATTTGATGGTACCGTGGCCAGCATTGCTTACCTATGCTTCCTTTACTCCTGCATTTAATGCGCACGGATCTAGGAGTAACCATTTTGGAATTAAATCCAAGGTCACAACCATCCAAATATATCTGCAAGAAAAATACTGCACTGCAAGCTTGCGAATGCAAACTCTTTGGTAGCAGTGTTTTCAGATCGAATCGATTAAAATTAAATTTTCTCATTTTTCTTGTTCAAACAAGCAGAAGCAACGTTGTTTGGAGTGGCTGGCAACGAGAGAGGGGAGATGTCATTAACAGAAACCAACACACAAACTGCTCGCGATTGTCCAAACAGACACAGATATATCCAATAAGCAGGTTTTTGCGTGTATCAAAGTACAAACACGTGATTCCATGTTACTCTTGTCCAAAATCCTAAGACAAAAACAAGCAATGGGGTATGGTCGCACAATCATCTCAAACTCTCGCATGACCCATACGACTGTGTCGAGCATCATTCATGTAAAAAGCCTTGCCATAGGGCATGCCCAACAAGAAGGGAGGAAGATACATGGGGTTGTTTTCCATGCTGAAAGTTCTTTAAGTACACAGTTGAACAATTAACCTTGCGGTGATATGCATAATACGGAATGATACTGTGATTTAGAATGTGATCACGGTAAAGGAACACACGACATTCCTTCTAGCCAGTAAAAGAAATTTCAAAGTGATCCTGGAACGAGGCGTTTTGCTTGTTATATATCATTGGTTATGTCACATTAGTTATAGCATTAAAATGTAATTAAAGCAAATAGCATGACCCACACTAAGTTGCTACACATTCAATAGAATGAGAAATTTTTGGATGTTCTGAAAATAAGAGAAATCTATTATTACCATTGAATCCATATCATCTTTGTAGTCAGCCATTGAATTCTCTTACTTGAACTGCATTTTTAATGCTATGGCTGAAGGGAACATGTGGGAAATTCTTAGTGCTCTAATCGCAAAAGAAGTATCTTGAGAATTTATGTTGGTGAGTGTGTGTGTGTGTGTGTGTGTTTGAGAGAGAGAGAGAGAGAGAGGGAGGGAGGGAGGGCGGTTGATGATCTGGTCTCTGATCTCTCCAACATGTACAATGAATAGACACATCTTGTTTTTCTGATTAAAGAGCAGGCCAAGTTTACATTCTAAGGAAAATTAATTCCTGCGTTTAATTTTGAAATAGGCATAAAAATGGCAAGCAGAAAATAAGATAAAGGCATTAATGATGTTTATGGAGCCCTTCATGGATGCTTATTCTGGATAAGAAGAACCTCAATCAAGTACTTTATCCAGTAAAGCTTCACTTAGAAGCCTCCAGTGGTCAGCAAGGAAGAGCTAAGCAAGTAATCTGTAGGGTGAAATGGCATTTACATGTTTGAAGCACTCAAGGCCATCATCTTACATTGTTCATTCAATGCCAGAAGTTGAGCCTCTTTCTTGTCAAGCAGAGCACTCAACCTCACATTCTCTTCCATAAGTTTCTGAACTTCAGCTTCTTTCTGCATTTTCTCACCCTCCAATTGGGTAGTCTTTCCAACTAGCCTGCTCAAGAGAAACAATCAGGCAGTGAGACTAATACATCTTTAGTTTAGGAAAACAAAAACCTACCACATGAGAATTGAAATTAATATTTAAGCTCATTGGCAGGAAAATGTGTGAATGTTAATGCCTATGTGTAACATGCCTGAATAAACATACACAACATGCCGACCATCCCACCCTGCCCAAGTTATACTGACGTATTAATGTGACTTCTTTTGGACCTAAACTTTTGCTTCAATCTGCTTGGGAATAACAGTCCATTATTTTCAAAAATTCATTTCTTCCTTTATGTGGCTATTGCTTGCATCCTTTTGCACACACACACAACAATGACATTTGAAGATTATAATGACCTAAACTCTCAAGAATAGCATAAGGTTAGCCTAAACATGGAGAGATGCATCCAACAGCCTCCATCAAACCAGCATTTACCGTGTAAAAACAGCTAAATTTTATAAAGTAGTAGCAGATGTCAATATCGAACAAAAACTATCCAAATGAACCTGTGTTCACTCAAAGAAAAAATAAAAAATCCATATTTTCAGCTTGCCACACTGGAGAGTGTAGTAGGATATATGCATACTAAAACTATACCGAAACTGACAAAAACAAGAGAAAAGGCACATCAACAGACATGATAAACATGCCAACTTCCAAAAAGGTGAGATTTTAACATATAAAACATGTAACTCTTTAGGATGACCTCTGGTGTACTCATATAAATTTCTGATTTTGGTAAGCAACCTGGACAAATTCAATGGGAGTTACTCAATCAGAAGGTAAAGAAGGATGACGTCCTCTTAAATTTGAGAGGGAGGAGGGGGGAGCAGGATGAGATCTTGCTCAAAAGAACGCACCATGGTAATCATTAACCAAATCATAATGAAGAAATATAAAGTAAGAATGAAGTTAGCTCTTAACAGAGCCTTTTAAATAAATTTATCTTATTTAAGAATTTCATGAGCTGTGCTCCTGATATTTGAGCCCAAGATAACACTATCCTATGCGTGAGGAGATAAGTTGTGCTCTTGATGTTCAAACCCAAGATAAAACAGCCCTATGCATGAGGAGGTGCATCCCCCCTCCACCCAGCAACAGCAGAAAAGAAGGATAAAGTGTTTGACACAGGTATAGCACTAGATCTAAGAAAAATAATTCAAGGGCAAGTCATCATGAATACTTATACTAATATACTAGAGAAGATTATATTTAAGGATAAAAGGGAAGCAGGAAGTGTGTCACTGCATATAAGTCAAACAATTCAATGCAGGTCAAATACCAGATAACTATCAAAGCACTTAACATAACCAATTGCATATAGCATTTTAATTATTTACCGTTCAAACAGCCTCTCAATAGTCTGGAATTGCTTCTCTGAAGAAAGTAAGGTTTCTCTTACTGTGATTAGACTACTAACATATGACTTCAGAGACTCAAATTCCCGTTTCACTCTAGAAAGCTCTTCTTCATTTTCAGCAGCCCGCTGTCTCTGTCTAGTTGTTTCTTCCACCAAATCTGCTACTCTTTGCCGCATGTCATTCAAAATACCATTTGTACCCATAGCAAAACGCTCCATCTCCTCTAATTTAATGGACATACTCTCTAACTGAGCAGACTTTCGCATAATTTCCTCCTTACCTAAACTCACTTTTTCCTTCTCTATTGTGGTTTCTGATTCTGCCAATAAAACCCTTTTGACAAGAGCTTCCATCACATCTGTGACCATCTGGACAGACTTGAGTAACTCACCTATGTAAACTGCATCCTGTTCGTCTAAGGAACCATGCTGATGGTTAATTCCTATCCAAGATTCTTCATCTAGGCCATCAAATGAAGAAAGATCAACATTCCTAGACCAACCTGATAATGGAATCCCATCTTTGTCAACCATTCCTATCCCATCTAATTTTTTGATGCCACAAGATGTATGGGCTAGATGAGGAACAGCCATGATTCTAGCTTTTGATTTTAGGTAGGACAACAGGGTAGAAGCAGTCTTGACTCTTCGCCATAGAACCTCTAACTCCCTCTTTGCATCCTCCTCTGACCCTTCTATGCACGCCTTTACCTCCATAACCCTTGCTTGCAATACATCCACTTGCGATTGGCTTCGTTCCATCTCCTGCCTCCAAGTTTCTTGTGCTTGACTGATCTGAGATTTCAAAGCAGAAGTATCTTCATCTGCAGCCATGTCCTATTCAATGTTGGATAGAAACATGAGAAAATAACAACAAAGTCAGCTTGTAATTATAACACATATCTATCAAGATAAAGATATAAGCCTAAGCTTTCCAAATATAAAAATCATTAACAACCCATTGTAAGTAGAAATGTATGGTACAGCTCCACCAAAGAGTAATAAAAAAGATATAAGGTAGCTGAAACTGGACTTCAATCGTAACAACCAATTCCAAAACCGAACTCTGAATAGATGCAGTCAAGTCAGCTGGATGCCACATATTGAAGTTGAAATAAAACTAAAATGAAAGCACACTTCATACAAAAATTCATCTACATTTTACTCTTACATACTACACACAATTTGCCCATTTCAAACTCACATATCATAAACACACCCAAGAAATTATACAGATGCAGATGTTATGCTTTATGACCAACAGCAAGCTAGCCCGCTTTTGAAGCCAGAAACTAGAAAGTAACACCCAACTATGCCAAGTGCCAACAGTGATGAAGTACTTCCATTAATATTTGACAAATAGCAAGACAAATTGCATGTTCTCTATATTTCAAATCCTATCAAGTAAGTAACTAGATTTTCGTCAAACCTTATACGGTCAGCACTTGACAACATCTTTACATAGAACACAATATAGAATTGATTCAAGCCATGCTTAGCTATTATCCTGCAACGACTATTGGCAACGCAACTACCTAATTTAGGAAAACACATTCACGCGAGTTTAACCGAGTAAACTTAAGTTTGAAACTAGATCCAAATTCAATATAAAGGGAAAACAAAGCAAATAAGACCCTCATTATATACCTAAAATAATTATAAAGAACCTGGCAATATAATGCAACAGAGGAAAAAATAATCAACATTAATATGCAGAAGCTTATTTTTGAAACATGTAGCCATCATGAAGACCTATGTTTTCTGAGATAGTTAGTATTTTCTTTCATTTATTTTTCTTTCAGAAAAACCTCAAGCTTAAAGCTTTTGCATTTACCATTTCAAGGTTGTTTGGAAGCGAACCAACCAGAACCCACGATCAAAGCAATGCATCAAAGAGTTACATCGAAAAAATGAACTAAAACAACACCAGATAATATCATGGGCCGCAGCAGTATCAACTGAGATTCCCCCAAAACAAAAATTAAAAAAAAAAACAAAACAAAACAAAACAAAACAACTTTAAACTGATCTGGAAGTAGAAGGGGGGAATCGAATTGGAAACCAAACCGAGTCAAATGGGAAAAGTTGAAACAGAATACCCACTAAAACAAGGAAAAATTAAAATTAAAAAAATAGGAGGCTTTAAAGAGTAAATGACAAAGGAAAACGAGAAAGGAACAAAGAGAATTGAGAAAGGAATATAGAAAAAGAGAGAACCTGGTTGGGTGAAAAGCGAGTTGAAGGAAGAAGAAGAAGAAGAGGTTGATGAGTTGGATCGAGGTGCTAGAGGAAGCCCTGTGCCTCTCTCTCTCTTTCTTGTAAGAAAAAGAAAAGAAGGCAACAATACGAACCAATTCTGAGATAAGCAGCAGGGGCTTTATTGTTTGTCCCCACTTTCCCTTTTCTCGCTTTTTTTTTTCTTTTTTATTTTCTCCTCCTTTCTTCAAGATCAAAATTTATGCAAAAGTTTGTCATACAAACAAATTGAGAATCAATATCCCTTTCTTTTCTTTTTTTTCTTTTTGACGAAATATCCTTTTCTTTGCTTTTCTTTTTTTCTCATTGTTTGGCATTTTTTCAACGCACTTTATATGACATTATATCAAATTTATGTGAATTTTGTAACCCACTTTACATAATTGAAACGTAAATTTTATCTAATAATACAATATATGGAAAAAAAATGCGATAAATAATATTTTTTAGTTTTTCTCTATCAATTTTTTTCTCTAAACTAATCCATTTATTAATTGTTTTAGGAAAATAATTTTAAAAAATTAATGATTATGCATATTAGTGTGCAGGTTAACTCAAATTAATCAGTTGCGTATATGAATCAATTAAATGTAAACATATTTAAATGCCGTTACATACAAGTTGGTTTATTTAATATGAGGTTTGGACTATTATACATGCTCAATAAAATATAAATTTTATATATAAAACCTTTTTACTTTATTTAAAAAATATTTTAAAATTTTAAATTTTAAAACCGATTTGAACCAACTTTCACTATTTTTAGTCAATTGTCAACCTCTTTTTTCATTCTGCTGATTTCTATTTGAATTGGATATTATTCGTAGTTTCATACGTCTGTTTCTCATCCTTAAATTATCAACGACAACTCAACTTTTACTGTATAGATCGACAATAATGTTGACATATAAAGAGAATAAATATAACTTTTTTTTTATCTAATTTGAACGTTTTTATTTTCTAAGTATTATTAAATTTATTTAAAAATAAATTGAACTATAAATTTCAAGTTTATAAATCAAAAAGTCAACCAAATTTGTAATTAAGATGATTGATTAGCTTCAAGCGAAGAGATAGATGATACTGTTATAAATTTTATAAAAAAATTAAAAATAAGTCATGTAAAACTTGTAACACATTTTATGTTTTAAAATACTTTTATTAAAATTCTGTATTTGAAACTATTCAAAATAAAATTTTATTATTTTTATTTTAATAAAAATTATTTCATTAAAAATTATTTAAAAATAAATTAAGGTGTTACAAAATTAATTTAAAAATAAATTAAGCTAAAATTTTTTAAAATAATATTTTATTTATTTTTCTAGCAACTTTTATAAAATGAAGATTAAAGTCGATAAAATAGATATGTGTAACTGGGTCAGTACAAATTTGCATGATAAAATATAAGATTTAGATTTCAATTTTAAGTTTGAACTAAATCTAAATTATTTTAACATGATATTATGAAGCCTAATATAACTTAAACTCACTAAAAGTCTACAAATTTTCAAACTTTAACAAGTTTGTATACCACTTGTACTGCCTCAAATCAAATTTGAGTTTTTCTTTTTTAATCTCATATGTTAAAGTTTGTCACCTACAATTTGCTGACTCAAAAAGATTGGATAACTCATTTTAATAGTTTGAAACTATTGTTAGTTTAAACTATTTTTATTTGAATAATGATGTTTTAACACTAAATTTAAGAGTTTATAGTAGAAACTTTATACAAAATAAAAAGTAATTATGTTTTATAGTTCTCGAATACAGACATTCAAATTAGATGTTAAAATAGCATTACTTTTCTTATTTTAAAACAAAACTCAAACTATTTTTCAAAATATTAATTTATTCATTTACTCGAGGTGTTTTTTTGCTTTCCCTGTATCTATTTAGTATTTTCTTCTTAATGAAATATACAAAATTAGATGTAATTATTCTAGAATCAATTTTTTAAGAAAGTAATACTAAAGATGAGTTGCTAATTGCTATTTATTTATTAACTAGTTTTTATATTACGTATTTAAAGACATATAATAAAATTGATATATTACAATATTTAATACATTAAAAATTATACAATAAAATTATATACTATAACTTTTTTATTTTATTATTTATTAATTTTTATTATATATCTTCAAATGCACGTTAAAAAATTGTTGATTAATTATATTTAATTAACTTTTCAAACAGGTAAAACCATCAAATGTCAAATATTTGACAACTGGCATCAGATGTGCTACCCTCGCAAGTCTCTAGCAACTCTCATGAAATATTGTGTAAATTCAAAGATAAAATAATAAAAGAAAAAAAAGCTTAACATTGTCTGTAATAATGTGTATAATTATTTTCGTCTCGTACTTTTTTTTAATATTCATACATCTTAAAAATACATCCATTTCTTGAAAAAAAAAATGCATCCAAAAAGCAAAGAAACAAGTAAAAGTTATATCCCAAAGCTTAAAAAGACGTTCTTGCCATTAAAAAAAAAAACATTTGTTTTCTCACATATGATGAATAGGATATCAAACTCCAGATCCATAGGGTCAGCTTTTTTTTTATTTGTTATGTACCCGTAGGGTCAGTTTTAAATCACGTGAGTGTATTTTTGCTGTATAATAGCATAAAAAAAATGGTGTGGTACTCTTTGATTGCAAGTAAATTTTTCATTTATAATAAGAAAAAAGATACAAATTCATTGAGTACAATTGCATGTGTGATAGACAACTAAAATTTATCATTTAACTGCTTCACTATCTAAGACAAAGAAAAGTTCCATACTAAATAGTTTATTCACAAGCATTTTTAAGAAACAGAATCTGTTAATTCTCTTAACAAAGTAGAAGAGACCCTCATTATGAAGGTAGGTAGGTATTGATGCCAAATAAAGCATAACTTATGGAAAGGGTAATAGCATAGCAAAATTATTGCCATTTGGAAAGGGAATATATCAGGGGTGTATTTACATATACAACAATAACCAAACCTTAGGAAGCTACATATAGATCATACAATACACTTGTATTTGCATATGCTACATCAAAATTGGATCATATAAATATAAAGTCTAGAAAGACCATACTAGGGAGGAACTGGCGACCAAGCCAGATAAGAGAGCAACCAAGAGGGCACTACTATAAGTGGTTGGTTCAGCCTGCATTGAGTTGTTCCTTAAATCATTATATGTGTCATTATAGAAAGGGCCACCCACTAGAGCTCCAAATGCTACATTAGGATTGGGGTAAGATGAGTTAAACCATCTGAATCCATCCTTGCAACCAGTTGTAGCATTAACTGGAATGGAAGATCCTCTGTGATGTATATATTTTGGGTAATGACTTCCATATCCCACAAGATAACTCATCTTCATAGGATTTTCACCCAACACATAATCTGCCTGAAATTGTTAGGGGCAAAACACAGTCATATTAGAAGTAATACAAGCATAAATGCAACACAGAATCACATAAGTACATCAGGAAGTATAAAAATGTGTAGGTGCTGATTGATAAAGAAATTTTGAAGTTGAATATAGTCCTGATTATAAGGATGGAAAATACTGATCTCATTTTATGAGACTTGCATACCTGAGAAATGGCAAATTTGCGAAGATCTTCGGGCTTATACAATTTACCCCTACAATACAGAGTTTCAGTTTGAGATGTCAACATGTAGTCACTGTAAAGAACAGCCAAGAATGCAGATGCCACTGAGTGTTGCAAAGAGTTCCATGGTGCCACCCATATCAACCCACCTGTTTTGTAATTATAGTTAGTATAAGTAATACTCATCCAAAGGAGGTGTTACAATTTGATTGAATCCTGTTATCATCTTCTTTGGCATAATTAACATAAAATGCAAGCCTTTTACTATGGAAATGGTAAAGGGAAGAAATCAAGTCCTACTTTCAGTTCTGTTGGTGCTGGCAGTGGGTGAATCTGGCAGAAGATTGCACATGAGGATTTCAGCAGTTTCTCTATACATTTGAAGGTCAAGGTTCTCCTCATCTGGGATGTTACTGGCACCAAAGAAATTTACTCTGGACAAAAGAACCTAGCTCAAATCACAAAAATCCATAAATTAGAAGATCCACCTCAAAATGAATATGGCTAGCTCATTCAAGAACTACAAAACTGAATATGTAATAAAATACAGTTTGGTTAACATCAGTCCTTACGAATGAATTTAAATATTCAAAAATAATAATTTTTTATTGAAAAAAGGAAGAATTTATTACATTGGAGATACAAAAGTGTAATAAATGCTTTGATTTCTAATAAAATATTACTATCTTTTAATGCTTAAACTTGACCTTAAAAGATGAAATTAATAAAATTCAATAAAATAAAGTGCAAAAGGTTAAAAAAAAAAAAAACGACACTGCATCATACTTGGTACCTGAGTTGCAGCATGCTTATCATCCCAACTAAACCATGATAAACTTCCTAAATTGCCAAATGTGTTCTCATTCTGTTCTGTTACATAATCTAGATATGATGGATCCTTAGTTGCATGATATAGCCAGGTCCCTGCCCATAAGAGTTCATCCCCATAACCAGATGAGTTATAGTATTTCCCCACTTGGGGGATGCTGACACTATAGGAAACTCTGTATGTATCAGCAAAAGTAAATAACTGCTGAGCATGTCCCAGAAGAATCTCAGAATACGTGAAATCAATCTCCTTAAAAACAAGAGAGGCTGAGGCCAGTGCAGCCGCAGTTTCTGCTGCAACATCTGTTCCCGGTGAAGATGAATTAACTTGAGTGAGTGGCCTTTCCTCAGTCATGTTTTCAGGCCTTTCCCAGCAATTATGGTCCACCTCAGGATCGCCCACCTTCAATCACAGCAAAAACGCAAATTTCAAATTCTTTCTCATTTACCCAAGAAATACATGAAGACTAAAGAGCCTGTTTGTTTTAAGTTCAATGGAATTAATTTTGGTAGAATTAACTTTGAACAATTGATCGTAATTTATTTTGGTAGGATTTACATCTCTAACACATCCATTCTTCATACCTAAATTTTTTATCTCTGAACCTTTAAAATCTCAAAGCAGTAGCACATAGTTGAAACAAAAAGTTCACCTGAATGTATAGCACTTCTGCAAAAGGGTGTGCGTTAATAAGATAATCCGTGATACACTTCAACGAATCCAGTGCATACTGTAGCTGCTTCACCGCTTCCATTCGATCTCCATATTCAAGGATAGCCCAAGACAGCACAGTAGCAGTGAAAGCCATGGGAAACCCAAATTTCATGAGGTCACCAGCATCATACATTCCTTTGGATAAATCCAAATTCCCTTCATCACTACCATCTCGTACTCCTGAATCCCCTCTCCACCAAACCCTGTTATTCTGAAGCTTACCAGCTGCATGCGGACAACGCACATTATTTAATTAAGGTGATTCCATAACATGTTAATCATAACATCCATGCATATTATTTTTTAATATTAATTAAAGTGATTGCATACCATATTAATCATAATATACGCTCTTACTAATATAATATCATGATATACATTAGATTACATTTCTGGGCGTCAAAAAATTGAAGAGCCAATTCAAGAGCAGAGGCATATTTCTGAACAACGTTGGTGGGGGATGTAGAACGTTTTGCTGAATCAGAGTGATCAAACTTGGTTACTATAGAAAGAACACCGGCACCTACTACGAGAGCTGCAATGATGGACACTGTTAACCAACACAGGGCACCCACGTTGTACTTTTTGTAGGAGTTACCAATAACCTTGTGTTCCATTGAATTATTGGTGTAAAGGGGAATTGGAGATAAGGTAATGTCTATGATTTGTAAGTTTAAGTCGTGTGATTTTGGCAGATTAAATAAATCGCCAGTTTTCGAAGGTGGAGGACAATCCGACAATGGTTAGAGTTTGGAAGTCAAAGGAGTGTAGAGAGTGAGACAGAGGAGGGGAATGATCCTTCTTTGTTGTTGTAAGATTGACAGTGATACAGCATAAATAGCTCGGTTAAATTGTCATTGTAATTATACAAGAACAGGCGTGATTATTCAAAATGGTTCTAGCATATCTTGGTAGAATAAATTTAGTTCTTTCTATTAAAATATTCCTATTTAACTTGGTAAAATTGTTTGCATGACTTGTTAAGCAGCTGATATGATTTTTATTTGATAAAATATTTTTAATTAAATTAGTCTTTAAATATTAGTGCTAATATTTAGAAATGTGTAAATTGACCTAGTAATTTTTTTTTTCAAAATTATATTTTTTATTTTCAAACCGTTTTCTGTACTCTAACTTTTCAAAATATAATTTGATCTTTTAACTTTTAAAAGTATTTTAAATGTAATTTTTTATTAACAACATTAACTTCATTAAAAAATTATTTTTTTAATACGTGATCTATTCATATTATTCTTCCTTAGATTTGGAACTTCTTTGTCTCTGTCTCTTTCTCTTTATTTTCTTTTCCTTTTTCTATTTCTCCTTTCCTTTCTTCTTTATATTTTACTATGTGGGATTTTTCAAAGAAAAAAAACAAAAAAAGTTGCAACATCGGTAGAGAAAATGGCCATAATATTAACATAACTTATTTGAGCTATAATGTAGGTGAATAAGGGTATTGAGCGGCACACTTCGAGTTAAAATACGTTTTAAAAAATTATAAGAAAAAAATTATATATGCAATCTCAATCAATTTTATCAAGTTAAAGATTAATCTTATAGTAGAGAAATTAACCTGTCTTTGAAAAAATATTTTAAAGACTATTTAGTAAATTTTTTTAAAAAAATATCATATAATATGCTATAATATTATACTATAATAAGATAATTTCATGTAAATTATTATTATATGATGTTATTACAAGCCAATATATTAAAAATATTATTATAAATCAAAATTATCACATCACAAAATGATTAAATTATAATATTATATATAAAAAAAAGTATATTTTATGTGTGTACTCATTCATTTTTAAAGTCATATAAATTTTTTGTAAATATTAATATCCCCAATAATTTTGTAAATATGCAAGAATTTATTATGAGTATACTTATAAATATTTATGAGTATGGATTTTTTTATTTCTCTAATCTTATTTTAAAGTAATTATTATTATAAAAAGTTAATAGTGCAACTTAGCTTAAATAATAATAATAATAATTATTATTATTATTATTATAAAAAATGTATATATTTAATGTGTTATTAATTAATAGTTTATTCTCATTTAGTTGTGTATAAGGTTTGTAGAAGAAATATTTTAAGAGTAAACTCTCTAATTAGTCCATCAATTAGTAGCGATCATATATATTAGTCATTTAATTATTTAAATTGTCCCGTTAGTCTTTTTCATGCATAATAATCACTAACAAAATTATAAAACTTCTTAAAAATTATTTTTATTTATAACTTTTACTATGAAATTTTGTTTAGATAATTATGAAAACAAATTATAGGTTTTACATATTCACAAATTCATTTTTTACACGGTAAATTTTTATGAAAATGTTAGGGATTTGCTATCCTAAGCAAGAGAATTTGAATTTCTAAGCAAAAAACATATGAATAGGGGTTAGGATTGGGGATCAATTTTTTTTACTTGAAAATAAGTATCTAAGACTACATTTTTTACGAGATCTAAAGAAAATACAATGTTATGACGGGAGATATTACTCAAGGACTAAGATTCTTCCTATATATCACTAAGAGAGAACACTTTTAATAAAAGAGAAAACAGAGAAATAGAATAGAGTTCCGAAAACTAAGCTTTGATAAACTTACTTGAAGTCGACTAAAATGAACATTTAGGTTTAGATTCAAGAAATGATCAGGGTTTAAAAGAAGCTTCTTTGAGAGAAAGGAGATGAGAAATTAGAGAGAAATGATAACTTGGATTATAATTGAAGTTTTTGATTGAAAAACCTTAAATGCCCTTCAAACTCGCGACTTTCTCATTATAGAGCAAAGACTAGAGCATGATTTTTCTCTCTTATTTGTCATTTTAACTACAACAAAAATCTTTTTCATTACAGCGAAAGAGTTGATAGGTCATCCTTATTCACTTCTCGCTTTAGCAAGAGCGTTCTAAAGAGCTTTAGTTCTGAATGATCTTTCTCATTACAGAAAAAAAACCTGTACCAAAATTTCTATTTTTTCAAAAATAAAGGTAATAAAATTGAAGGTATTACAATGTGTAAGGACCAACAAAAAATTTAAATAAGACTAATATACATAAATGCTATTATCTAAAGAACTAATTTGAGAATTGAGAGTTTACCTTTTATATAGAATAAAAATGTAATTTCAATTAAGTTTCAATTAAGTTTAATTTAAATAATTTTTTCAGTAAATACCTATAAAAGTAACAAAATAAACTAAATTCTTCTCATAAATTAAGATTAACTTATATTTATTTTTTTATAAGATCTCTCATTTAACTTTTCTAATTTTATATATTTTTATCTTATTTTTAATAAAGACTTATTCACAATGTCACTCAAATTGGGTTAAAATATTTTAACACGTTATATATAATAATAATAATAATAATAATAATTTAAAAAATATGATAACCTAAAGAATTAAAGAATACTAAAGTATTATATTGGATAACTATAATAATTGAAATTCAATTAATGTAATTAATAATTGGATATTTAATTTATTATTGTTAAAATATTAAAATAAGATATTAAAATCTTGATGATAAATAGCTTACAATGAAAGAATCTTACATTTTTATATTAGGTTAAAATGATAATACGGAAAATTTTATAAATTAAAGTTTTGTTTATAAAATTTTATATAATAAATTTTGAGAGACTTGTGAATAATATTATAAGGGTTTAAGTATGTCATACTTTATGTGAAATTTTAGTCCTCTAATTTAAATGTTCATATTTAATTATTTTAATTTTTTAATTATTCAAATTATATCTTTTATTTTTAAATTGTATCCAATAACTAACAAAAATATAACAAATATATAATATATTATTAATTTCTTCAATTTTGTAAAAAACAAATATGATGAAATAATTAAATAAAAATAAAAAATTGATTATGTTTTATACATTTTACTTAGTATTTTTATGTAAATAATTTATATATTTTTCTTTTATGATTTATACAAATAAAATCATATCACACTTGCATTATATTTTTAACATTGGATGAAACTTTTGGGATGACAAATTTAATTTGAATAATTAAAAAATTAGATAACCAAATATTAATAGTTAAAATTTGAAAAATGCAAGTTAAAATATAAAAACTAAAAGTGTAATTAGGTATACTATAAAAATTATTTTAAATTAAGAAATTAAAAGACAAATCATGCATTATAAATGCAACACATGTTTAAATTTTATTAGTTTATTTAAAAGAAATACCAAAACCCTTTAAAATGTAAAAATACTAAACAAGTAAAGTATCATATGCTTAATCCAAAATTATTCTAATTTAACCAGTAATGTTGAGTTTGAATCCCTAACATAATTACCATCCTTTGCTCATATGATTAGGTATATGATAAAAATAATGTTAGTAAGTAAACTATAAAATAAAATGCATGTCACCACTCACCAGACGGCTTGTTGCTTCATGTGTCATTGCCTCGCCTCTTTGCTCGCTTTGTTTGCTGCTTGTTTTTCAGTGTGGCGTGGCATAGCCAATAGTGACACTCATGCAACTGCAGGCCCTCATTTTGGTTTTACTCTTGTCTTCTTCACTTCTCATAAATGACCTTCCAAACTCCAAACCAATACATTCTCAAATCTTAAGAGTTTTATGATTCCTTTTTTTCTTACAAATGTTCTAGGTTTATATATGAGTATGTATAGTAAGTCTTAAATGTAAATAATAAAATATCACAAAATCAAATTATTCAAATTTCAATTAAAAATAGTTATTATTATCTTTAGTCTTATATATATAAGAAATAAATACTTGATAAATAGGAATAAAAAAGTAGTTATCTATATAATATAATTATATTCTATTTTCAAATACTCACCTTATTAAATGATTAATTAGTATCTTATATATTAAACAATTATTTTTAATGTATGCTCAAAGTCACCTGTTAAACAGTTAAAAATAAATAATAATTATTATTAGAAATCAAAATATTATCTTAAAGCTATCAAAAGCATTCAAAACATGCTTTTTATTATATTTAAAGTATTTAATAGAGTTATTTAATGCTTCTTAACATAAGTTGGGTCAATATGTGATTTTTAATTAAAATTATTATTTTATTATTTCTTATTAATATAAGATTATGAATAATTAGATTAATAATCCTAAATGACTTAGATATTAGTTTATTTTGATATTTTGGTTTTTAAATATTTATTTCAATATTTGTAATCCTTTTTTTATACATATATTTTGTTTTTTTTATAAGATTTGGTTAGCCAACTTATTGGGTTGTTGAGTTCAGTCGAATTAGCATTTTTCTTTAAAAAGGGAGTCCAGTTGAATTGTTCATTGTTAAACTCAATTTATTTTGAATTAATTCAAATGAGCTAATTTGGTATGTTTTGATCATTATGATTTGTAATATATCTTAAATTTAAATATTGTTTCTTGTTATTAAAATAAAAAGGAGATGGAGTTAGCCTTTGTAGAGCTATTATTATTATTGAAATGGAAAAGATGTGAAAATTAAAATAAATTAAAAAAAGTAAAAGTTACCGTACTCTTTGTAATGGGGAGAATTTGATACTCTCTTTTACACAAAAAATAATTATAACTGTTAATTTTATATTGATAAATAATGAATTTAGTGGTTTAGTCAAAAAGACATTAATATCTTTTTATTTTCAAAATATTAAAAGAATCACAATCATTAATATAAAAATAATATAAAATATAAAAAAATATCATATTGTGAATTTCTAATCAAATTACAGCCTAAACCGGTCAACTGGCAAAACTTTTTTCAGTCTTCCTCCAGAATATATTCTTTTACTTAAACCAGTAATACTTACTTTTAGATAATTAGTTTTTCTTAATATAAAATTTAAAGTTAAAATTAAAAACTACCAAATAAAATAAAATAACTGCAAAAAAACACAAAATTTACTCTAATTGGGCTCACACAAATTATTGCTAAGAGTGGGCTTTAGCCTGGATTGTTAGGCCCTCTTCCTTTATACCGACGTGGGTGGACCCAAAAACTTGCGACGTTTATCATCTATCTGCAAGGAAAATCAAATAAAGACAAAGAGTTGATTTGAATAGAATATTTTAAGTGAGTAATTTATTTTTTAATAAATTTATAATTTTATTAGTTAAAATTTGTTGTTTATATATTTAATTTTAAGTAATTTAAATTTTAATAATTTTTTTTAATAGACTAGAATTCTAAATCTTAAAAAAAGGTGAGAATTTAGAATTGATTTTTCATTTATTATATGTTCTATTTATATTATTATTTAGTTATAGTTACTTTAATAATTTAAATTTTATATTTTTAATTAATTTTATTAAATATGGTGATAATTTTTTTAAGAATGTAAGTAATTTAATTACTCCATTTAAACAAAATTGTTTAAAACAAAATAAATCTATTTATCCAAACTAAATATTTTAAAACAATAAATTTCTTAAAATTTTAACTTTTCTAAAATTTTTAATGCGTAAGCGAAACACAACCTTAGATTTTGCCTAGTTAATACTGCCATACCAAAATATTTTTTGTTTTGTTTTTTTTGTTTTTTTGTTTAGTTTGGTTAACCAATGTTCCTAGAATGTTGGTTAAAAGATTAATAAAAATCCATGATAAATATATATTCAATAAATAAAAGACTAACGAATATCCTAAAAATGTTAACTGATCACAAGATCCGTAATAGTAAAAAATATGTTTTCTAGAAAGAAAATAAAAAGCTTTCTAAATTCCCTAATTAGCCTTATTTAATTATATGTTTTTCACACCAGTAAATTGAATTTGACATTTTTACTTTGGCTTTCTTCTTCGGGGCTCTGGGTGTTGTATATTTATTTATCTGGGAAAGCAAAATTGGTGTGGTGTGTTTGTGTGGGAGTGGAGGCGAGGGAGAGAGAGAGAGAGAGAGAGAGAGAGTTGACTGAGAATCTGTTTAATTGATGGGGGAAGGGAGAGAAGGGGATTGGGAGTGCAGTGGTTGCAACAACAGAAACTACGCTTTCAGATCATTCTGCAATCGATGCAAGCAACCTCGCCTCCTCGTTGATACCAAAACCCCCGCTGATTCAAAGTGGCTCCCTCGTATTGGCGATTGGATCTGCACCGGTTAGCCCCAACTACCAATTCTCTCCCTCTCTTTTTCTCTTTGCATAAACATTTTTATCATTTGAGTTGTCGTTGGATTTTCAGTAATCATATAATACAGTGACTGCTAGGCTGTTTCTTTTTTTCTTTTCATTTTTATTTTCTCATGTTTTTTGGATATGGTCTATGAATTGGGCTTTAGGTCCTGCGTGTAATGGCTAGTTTAGTTTTTCACATATGAATGGAATGGAATTAGAAAACCTAGTGTGGTTCTTCCCTTTTACACTTGCTGGGTATTCTTTTGCAAAGTGGATAGATACTATGTATGGTTTACTATATTTTGGGTTTAAATATGCATATTACAAAAACAGTGCATTTTAGTACCTCACCACGTCCTGGAAGCACGTGGGTTTTGTAATTTTTAAGGACTAAAATCGAGTAAAAAAAAATTCTGTAAAGATCAATTTCAGAAATAGTCATATTTTTAGGATTGGAAATGCATTTAAGCTTAATAGTTACTTACTGGTAAGCTTCTGAGACAACCATAGCTTTGCATGCTCTGCGTGGTGCAGGGTAGTATACGGAGACATAATGAAAGTTTGTTTGTTGTAATTTCATTAGCATTCCGGCTTCATGTATTTTGTTTTAAGCTTACCATGATCAATCAACGACAGGTATGCCACCGTTTATTGAGCTCTATTTATTTCATACGTGTTTAGGATTTTCCTACCCAATTGATATTGAAAAGATGCTCACTTTTAGCATGACATTTGATTTTGGTTTATGACGTTCTGTCTGTTTCAAATTGAGATGAAGAACTTGCTATCAACTAGGTTGAGATGTTTGTGCTTTTTGTATGTGTATTTTGTGTGGGATGGACGTGTTGGTGTGCGTGGGACGTGTTGGTGTGCGTATGCTTGGCTTCCTTTCCCTCTGGCTACTTTGTGGGAATGGGTTTGTATGCAATGGAACAATAGGTTGCACTAACAACAATTATGCATCAAGAGAGAAGTGCAAGAAGTGCGGACAACCAAAGGAGGTTGCAGCCATGCCAGCTATTGCAATGACCGGAGCATCTTTCCCCACTTATTCACATTATTTTTCCAGGGGCCCCGGAGGACCAGAACAAAAGATGAATATTGGATTGATTGGCAATGGTGTGCCATCGCAGTCACTGCATTTAAACTCCAATTGGCCTGTTACAGGAGCAGATAAGTATGGTGTCCAGCCAGTTTCCTTATGGCTACCAGGTGGAAATTATAGCTCTGGACATCCTCATGAAAATTCCACCAGTCAGAACCTATCTGTTCCAAAGGGATGGCGCAATGGGGACTGGATCTGTAACTGTGGCTTCCACAATTACTCATCACGCTCTCAGGTAGTCTTGAATTCTACTTCTATATTATGTTTTGCTATACTAGCAATGAAGTATTCACTATTTATCTGATTCAATGTTGAAAATTGTTTGCAGTGTAAAAAATGCAAAGCTTTTCCACCTGGTATGGCTTCTTTCCTTGTTATAGATTGTAGGTGCAAAATTACTAAGATGTGCTTTCTATCAATGAATACTATAGTGCTCAAGTCTTAGAAACACCCTGTTATGGTTGCTCTGTTTTCCTATAGATAATCCCCAATCATCTTGGGGCTCATTGCACTCAAGGATATTTTTGGTTATTTAATATTCAGAATGTTTTTTATGTTTTTGCAATTGATGTAAAACTTCACACTGTTTCTACTTTCTTGGTGTAAAGCACTTGGGACAAAACGGTTAGCTTCTGAAGAGTTAGTTTATGACTGGGACAACAAGAGATTGAATGTAGGAACTGTAAGGACCGTGCTTTTTTGGTTAATTTCTGATCCACTGCTGTGGTTATAAAATTCTATTTTGACAGTTTTAAATTCCTCTTAAGATCTTAAGAGTTGTACTTATGTTACAGACAAATGATCAGCAGCAAACATATACAAGTTTAGAGCAAGTGGTAGGGACAAGTGCAGATCCAAAACCTGGTGTCTTCCCCTCTTATCCCAGCATAAACTCAGGTACAGAACAAAATTTGCCAATGACCACACTGCTTCCACCTCAAATTTCGACACCTGCACTCCTTGGAAAAGGGTAGCTAATTCGTCTCCCTCAAGTTTCGTATAATATTCAAGTGTGCATGTTTATATTTTTGTAATTTTACGTATAAATACTTTAAAGAAACCTATCATACTTTCTTGGGCTCACAATTTAAATACTGCTACCTGTTGCCTATTAGAGCAAAGCAATGGCGTAGTGGAGATTGGATGTGCACAAATTGCAACAATCACAATTATGCTTCCAGACTACAGTGTAACAGGTCATTCTCTCATTCATATGATTTTCTATTTGTTTAAAGAGGAAAATGAAAGGCCCTTCAAGCGAAGACAAAATTATTCCTTAACTCATTTTGAAGCCATTAAAACACATTCATATTTTCTGTTGCACACTTCACTGAATGATCACTGCTCATCATTTGCAGGTGTAAAACTCAAAGAATGGCACCCATGCAACCCGTTAATGTCGTGTAATGTTGAATTCATTTGTTAAATTGATGTCACGTGCCCTAGTTTTGGCTGAGTTTTGTTTTGATTTTCAAGCATGTATTTGCCAACCAAACGTTAATATTCTGGACAGGCTCATTATTTGCATGAGACATAAGTGGTTTATACTTGGTGCATTGTATTTTTGAGTTTCTGAGAGGTGTATGCTTATTATAAACATTATGTTTAATATAGGGAGTTGTGGGTGAGTTGTGATTATTCAGCTATAGCTCATTTGTCCATTCTTTCTTCTCCTCAATTTTCAGTTATTTTGTTATAATCTTTTTGGTTCAGTAGCGTATTCATGGAACTCTTGCTTGATGCCTCTTAGTTCACCTGCGCAAATTTAGTAATTTGTCAGCAACTGCAAACTGTTATCTCACTTAAAATTGGCAAGAATATTCCAACTTTCCTGTACATGTAAGAAGGGTTGGCACGGGTACTCATATTTTACTTCATAGCAGTACATTTATGAGTGGTAAAATAGGTAACAAACCGTTATTTTATTTATTCTTCGTATAGTAAGTGGTGATTATTTTAATTTTTGTCTTAATAAAATTCCCATTTTAGTTCTTAATTTTGTAAAAAGTCCTTCACTTTAAATCTTAAAATTATTAAAGAAAATGATGCGAAAGAAAAGTAAAATGAATGGTAAAATTAGAGGCTGAGGATTTAAAAGAAGTAAAAGATTAAAGTAACTCACTTATTACGTAAGTATCGATTCTCAGTTACACTTAGTAGATTCATCGACTCGACGCAGAAAGTATTTGTATCCGAGATATATTTTTTAAAAGGTGGTTCATTGCAACTCTTAAAAGTGATGATAGGTTTTTGCGCTCCGGAAATTGTGAATATAACAACAATAGTACTATGGCAAAATGCAAACTGAATTCTTTCTATAGCAAGCAGAGTAACATAATTCGTGAGCATCTCTGCTCAAAAGCAAAAAGTTAGGCAGATTATTAACCAAGTTCAAAACTTGAGATGAAGATCACTTGAACACATCAGAAGGAGACAATAGAGGAGCATCCAGCTGGTAAAGGTTGAATGCAGGACCCAAAAACCTGAACACTATCCAACCCCCAATCATGATGAAGATTGAAGCATAGGCAAATTTGTTGAGCCAGAAGAGAGCACCCTTCTCTCCCATGTATAGCTCGATTGCTTTCTCATTTAAAGTCATGTCCTCCCATTTCTTAGGAGTCTCTGGAACCTTTGGCTTTGTGGATTGCCTACTATTTGAATCTGTTCCCATCTCCATCAGTCGTTTCGCTTGCCTCCTTGACCTTCTCTTGAAGCTTATTTCCACAGCTCTAGGGGGTGTTGTGGTTGGTGCTTGAACCGAATTTGAATCATCCTCGTTTGCGTTCGTGTTTGTGTTACTGCTACTACTGTCACTGTTACTGCAGCTGATGGGGTTGAAACTGAGAGAACCATGACGTTGGGGCAGGAAGATTTGGTTGTGCCTCGTTGATGGCAGTGAATGTTTAGTGAGAATGATGGGGGAAGACGAGTTTCGACAGGTAGAGATGGTTTCCATGGCTTCTTTGAACGTGGCCGAGGTTAATGTGTGGTTATGTTTTGCTTAATGCTTATCCACTTCCCTTTTATCATGTCTTGTTGGACTTGCACGTGTTACCTGTAATCCCGTTCCACAGTTCTTTGGTTTGGACCTCACTTGAGAACTGAAATGGGTCTTCGTTTTGGACATCAGTTTTTAAGAAAATTCAAGTATTTTTATGGAAAAAAAAATACTCACAACTGATGTATGTCCAGAAGGAGCCCAAAGTGGACCCATGAAAAAAGAGACAAAATGAGAGACGGAGAGTATTTAATGATATTTACAGTAACTAATTAAAACTTTGAATGGCAAACTATTTTAAATCGTAAGGAGTTTCATTTTTCTTGTTATTACCTTTTTTTCATGTCAAAATAATTTTTCTTTTTGAAGAATTGGGATATTTTGAAAAAATAATGTTAACTAATGCTAGAGCAAGGAAACAAAAGTATTCTTTTTTAAAATAAGAAAATTTTATTGTATAAATGATGAAAATTTTCAATGTTCAATATTTTAAGAATTTGACACCATTTTGTTTCTTAATTATTTTTTGGTTACTGTTTAGAGTACTTCAAATCAGTGTTTTTAACATTAGAAGTGTTCACATATAGCGTAAATTTAGTTAATTCGACTAAACCCAAGACAAAATGAGTGAGTCAAGTTTTAGAGTAAAATTATATTAAGTCTAGCCAGCCAAGTTGTGTTGGATAACCAAATCTTGACATGGAGAACAACTCAATTAAAATAATAATAATAATAATTATTATTATTATTATTGAGACTCAGCTAATAATTATTATTATTTTTTAGACTCGGCTACTCAATCAATCCAACTAATTCTTGGTCAAGTTGGTTTGTTACACGTTATAAAATTTAAAATTAATTATTTTTTTCAACAAAAATTAATAACTTTCTAGCAATTTTTTCTAGATCTGACGCGTGAAAAAAATTGTCTTTTTCTTGTTGACATTTGCACCAAAAAATTCTCACAATAGAAATAATTTTTTTTAACAAGTATTCTTGGTCAAGTATTTTTTTTATTACACTTGTTTACTATATGATAAGTATTAAATAAAAAAAAGAAAAAAAAATTTTCAAGTATACATTTCTTTCATTGAATGGTATATGATATTTAATGAGACTCTGTTGGCCGGTTAATTTTTCAGCAGACAGGAAAAGTTGATATAGACATCATTGGCCCTTCCTTGTGTGTCTTATTAAATTTTATTTTATTGATGATTTTTGTATTGATTAAAATGGAAGAATGATTGTGGGAATTAAGGTATCAGAGAAGAAAACTTGATTGGAAGTCCAATCACGACCAAAATGTAAACGCATCCGGAGAATCTGGATCCAAGAAAGAAAAAATACAATGGCCAAAGCCAAAAACAAAAACAGTGGTGTCAAGAAAGACAACCCAACCACAACATGAACCAACCAGAAATCAGATTATTCTTCTTCGTCCTCAGGAAAGCGAAGGTGCTTTCCTTTTGGGGTTGGCAACCCCTTCAAATGCAACACGTTTGACGAAGCACTCTCGGCGCAGCATTTTACTTCCACTTCTTCCACAATCTCGTCATCACTGTTGTATACAAACCTTGTGTGCTTCCCACGACCCTTTTCATTCACACTAATGTTGTTCAAGCCAGCACAAAGCTCGTCCAGTAACAACCCTCCATCATCATTGTCATCATCGTAACACTCTTCTTCTTCAGCATCCTCATAATAATAATCTTCTGCCTCGTCTTCCTTTTCAGCCATTTCATCATCATCATCATCATCTTCGTCATGTGTGCTTGCGTTGACTTGTATTGACCAAATAGAGGCTCCATCATCTTCGGTGGCGCAACTCCCTTGTGTTACATCCTGATATGTCACCTCGGACGAGCATTCTGAAACCTCAGATTTGTCCGAGAAATCCAACAGGAGGGACCTACTTATCACACTCTTTTCGCATTCATTATTCTCATTATTCTTTCCTTCTAATATTTGATTCACCACCTGCCACAGAAAAGAGGAAGACATATTAACTTTACTATATTCTTAATGCATATTGTATTCAACATATCAAATAAATAAATAAGTGTATCCTATAAGATAGGAAAATAATATTTTCAAACCTATCAAATAACTGTCACACAAATGTGAAATGAATATTTTTTTTCATGTGAAAAGGTACATACTGTATTTAGAGGATTGTTACAAATGGAAATAAATAAATAAATTATAGTACTTTCATAATAATTTTTATAATAAAAATATTTAAGATGATTTAAAATTATTCATTACATAAAATTAAATATTGATAAAACAATAATTTCTCTCGGAAACGGAAAAAGAAGGCTAGAAAATAAAATGAAATTACGATTGTGACGGAGACTAACCCGAGAAATCAGTTGTTCCTCGACGACAGAAGAAGGTGGTGGTGACACCAAGGTCAACGCAGAGTCACCATTGTTGAGGGCAGGAAGATTGGGGATTTGGGGAGTGTTAGCGGGAGTGGGTGCAAGAAGAGACATTGGAGAGTTGGCAAGTTGAAGAAAGGGACGAATTTCCATCGAAAGCTTCGAAATTTCAGCCTCTTCTTCCACTTTCTGCAAAAGGGTCTTCACCTGACCCCTCAGCAACGCCTCTCCTGACCCCGGCGTTTTCTTCACTCTTTGCTTCGCTATAGACGACAACGGCGTTTCAAGATCGTTGCCATTTGCAAGCCCCACAATTGGCGAGTCGTTTGATATGTCAACCAGCGCACACCGATCTTGCTGCTGTTGTTGCCCGTTGTTTCTTTGCCTTGTTTTTGATACACTCTTTTCCGATTCTTCATTCTTTTGTTCTAACCAAATGAAATGAAAACCCATTCTCCAAAATTAAATTTTGAAAAAGATAATATAAGAAGATACTAGGTAACGAAATAATACATAACATATTTGTTCAAATTATATAAGAGATGCTTACTTGGAATGTTGTTGGAAGCAGCCAATGATCTTGTGATTCTTCTTGTTGTGGATGGAGTCTCCATTGAAACGAGTATTGCAGCGAGAGAAAGTGAGAGAGAGAAAGAGTGGGTAGCTCAAGATTCAAAGAAAATAGAATAATATACGCGTTCAGGGTAAAACTTTGGGGTTTATAAAAGGGAATGGCGTGAAAATTTGACCGTTGGCGCGTGCGCATATTTGCCCTAAACAAAATACAATGAACTAGCCGTTAGTTGAAATGCTTTTGAATTATGGTTCCATTTGCTTGGGCCGGCCCATCAATTTAGGGTAAACAATGGGGTTTGAATGATAACACAGCTCTTTAATTGAGCCATGTTGAAAACAAAAGGACAACATGCTGCTGAATGCTGAGCACGATCGAAATCTTATGAACCAAAATCGCCCAATTATCCTACCATGAAAAAAAAAAACCATATTATATATTTATTTTTATTAAGTATCATTTACGTTGGAAATTCTGGAGATTGTTTGAAGTTGTGACCCACGGATATATTTATAAAAACCAATAAAATAAAATAAAAATATTATATAAAATTAATTTAATTTATAATAAATATAATACACCTATCTTTAATATATCAAAGAGTATCTTCCATAAATTAAATCTAAATTCTCATTTTTAAATAAAAATTTATAAAAAATTATTTAAAATAAAAATAATTTCAGGAGCTATTTTTTTTCATGTGACATCTCTTCATTAAATATTTATTAAATTATTAAATTAAATTATGTATTTAGTCTCTATAGTTAATACTCGTCTATAAATTAGTTCCTATATTTTAAAAAATTATATTTAATCTTTGTATAAATATTTTATTATGTTTCAGTCTATGCGTTAATAATGATGAAAATCAGTCTGGTGTAGTTAAATTTGAACAAAAGTCAATCAATTCGATGACAACTAACAAGGTGAATATTCTATTATGCTTCTATTTAAATTTGATGTTGAGTTCTTCATGTAATAAAGTTAGTCAGATGTGAAAATCTTTAGGTAAGTTACATTGAGTTATTTTTTCTCTATCACTATTATCAAAATTGTTGTTCACCACAGTTACTAAAGAAATAAAACGAGTAGTAGAGATAAATAGAGACATAGAGATGATTGACATAGAAATATGGTTATGCACTCTTTTCCTTCTTCTTGTCCCTCTTTAATAGTAAGAACAACAATTATGTTTACAAAGTATGCCTATAAATCCTTTGTCCTCGTATACTTAAGTTCTAGATGGTTGAAAAGAAAAAAAAAAAAAAAAAAGAAAAAACATGATAAAGTGACTATAATAGCTTAAAAAAAAGGTACAATGAGAAGGTGCAAAATAAAGTAGAAACTGAAGTTTCTCTTCTTTTAATAAATTTAATGAGAATAAAAATAAAGTTTCAATTGATTAACCCAATGTCAAGATTAATTAATTTTCATATAAATTTAATTTTTATTTGTTTTTTAATATATTCTTCATCTTTCCTATTATTTTAACATTTTAAATCCTATTTTTTCTCTTTTTTAATGAATGTATAATTTTAAAAAAATAATTAATGTAATCTTAAAATTTAAATATAATAAATTTAATTAATAAAAAATCCTTCTAAAGTATCAAATAAAAAAGAAATAAAGTAGTATAATAAATGTTCTCAGAAAAAATAAAAACAATTTACATATATAAAATGTTCAAGTTATAAATCTTTGTAACGGAAAGAGTTTAATTTTTTTTTATATGTGAAATAAATAATTTTGATAAATAATTTTATATTAATAAATAATAAAATTAGTGATTTAATTAAAAATATTAATATTCTCTTATTTTTAAAATATTAAAAAAATTACAACCGTTAATTTAAAATATATATAATATCTTCTCAAGTGGCCCAATAAGCATCTTAAATTTTTATTAAAATTATAATAAAAAATATATTAAAAAGTTTAAAATTCTTTAATGAGTATGATTAGATGGGAGACCCTTTACGTATTTGGTAGACAGGTGAATCGACAAGCGGCACCGCAATAGTGGTTAATCTTTTTGTGCTGGGACTAGTCTGGCAAAAGAAACTTGGTGGTGATCTCCATCACTCCATCATTGTTTCGCATCCAATTCATTGCGTATTATACAATTTAGTTGCTGTGCTGTGTGCAAGTGTGTCCCTCCTGTACATCTGGACACCTAGATTTAGGGATGGTAATAGGTAGGGTACTACAGTACCCATTTTCATACCCGCGTTTTAAAAAAAATATTCATACCTGGCCTCATATCTGCGTGGGTATGAATATTAATCCCCGTACCCGTACCCTCTGGGTATCCGCATACCCGTCTTATATCTATTACCCGCGCTTGTTTGAGAAAAAAATATTTATAAAGAAAAATATGTTTATATAACTTCACATAAGTAGCATAATAATACAAAAATTCAATATGTAATTGCCGAATAAGGTACAAATATAGATAAAAAAATAAATATTCAAAGATCATAAATGTTAAATGTATCTTAATATAATAATTTTCTAAACTAAAATTCTTAGAAACAATAAACAAAAACTAAACACATAAGTTATTTGTCAGTGATAATTCTATCTTGTGTGAGATTTGATTGTTAGTAATGTCAAAACGACAACTAAATAGATCTATACAATGGTTGTCCCTTCGTGTAGGATCACTTAGTAACCTCTTGTGATAACATTAACAACTAACTCTAATGAATAACATTTCATAGTTATTAAGTTTTAGTGAGACAGACATTGAGAATGAGAATAGAGTTAAAGTAGAGAAGTTCAATACTAATAACAAAAAGTTGATACATAAAATATTTTTTTTAACTTTTGAATTTGAAATTGTAAGAAAAATAATAGATTTAACTAAAATAATATAATATAATTAATATATATATATATATATATATTAATACTAATATTTTTTAACTCATATACTATACGAAAGTATTTTATCAAAAATATAAATTTTTGAAAAATTATTTTAGTGAATTAAATATTTATAATGTATATAAATTTAAAAAAAAAGAATTTGAATAAAAGATAAATAGTTATAATAAAATTTTATAATAAAGAAATATACGTGTATATTAAAAAAAATATACTTTTTTATCTTAAAAAATTAACAAATAAAAATTAACAATAATTTTTTATATTTATATCTTTTCAAAAACTTTTTTGAATGTGAATAAATAGTAAGAATAATATTATTTAGATTTAATAGATTATAGTTGTGCTTGTAATACATATGTTACATAGAAAAATATTATTTTAAATTAAAATATAAAAATAAAATTTAAATATTATTAATAAATAATAAGTTTACAGTAATAGTAGGTGATTGTAAAATTTATAAAATATTTATAATATATTTATTATTTATCATTCACTTTATGATTTAAACATCAATATGATTTTATTAACAAAAATATTTGTGTAAAAAATATTTTATGTGTGCCATATATAAATAATATTTTAAAAAAAGTCAATCTTATATTAACTATGTAATAATTAAATTGTGTTAGCCTAATTAAATGATATAAAATAGTAAATAAATTTTTCTATTAAAAATATAAACCAAAATAAATTTTTTAGTTTACTTTATTATTAAATATATTTTTATATTAATCTTATATAACTTCACATAAGTAATATAATAATACAAAAATTTAATGTATAATTGTAGAATAAAGTTCAAGCATATATATATATATATATATATATATATATATATATATATATATATATATATATATATATATGCGGGTATGGGGCGGGGTGGGTACTTAGATACCCATATCCGCACCCATCCCTATTAAAATTTGCGAGTTTTTACCCACACCCATACTCGTACCCGTATAGCGGGTAAATACCATGGGTAAATTTTGTGGGTACCCATTAGGTACTTTATCTGTTGTCATCCCTACTTAAATTCTTGTCCTTGTTACGCCAATCTCACTACCCGCAATCTAATTCCCAAATGCCCTTAGTTGATTTAAGCCAAATAAATCTACCTTGCCTTTACTATCATTATATTCTTCCATGTACTTTGGCTTAATTATGAATATTATTCAAATTTTGGACTGTTATCTGACTTCTTTCATTTAGAAAAATGCTATTTAATACAAAAATTTGTATAATTTTTGTTACAACTTAAAAATGGGAAGAGAAAAAAAAAATAAAAAAAAGTAATGTAACGAAGATTTAATGATAGAAAAATATATAAAATTACTGTAAAATATAGACCTTTCAGAATAAGTTTGTTACATACATATATGGTTCCTTTCCATGCTATCTACAGATTGGCCAAACCTGAAGCGTCTTCGTTCTCCGGCAACAAATAAACGCTAATTATTTTTTCTTACGGTCTTTTTATAAGATTTTTTTAAAAAATATATGTTTAAGAGTACACATTAAAAATAAGTAGATAATAATTTTTTTTATTAAAATTATAATATTTAATATCAATAATAAATTAGATATTGTAATATCTGTATTTTTTTAATGAAAAATTATTATATTTAATTTTTTATTGTGTATCATCAGTACACAGTAAAACAGTTATTTATAAAAATCAATATTGTATATCATCAGTACACATTATAGAAGTTATTTATAAAAAATCAACGATCGATGTTTTATTCGTAATTAATTATTAAAAATATAGGCTCATTTTCTAATGTATTACCCGTTAAACTCTTTTTATACTTTTAGTTATTATAAATATTTTATTAACTAAACACTCAACTGCATAAATAAATATGTTTAGTTAATTATTTAATATATAAGTAGCTACTTTGTTCATTTAATATTATTAGTCTTGATCAATTAATGAATTGGTTTTTTTTTTCAGAAAAACGACAGAAAAAGCACCTCTGATTATTTCACAAAAATTAAAAAGAAATATTTAATTTATTTAATCATATTAAATTTATCAATAATTTATTGTACATTTTTTAGAATCATCTTTAATCTATTTTTATTTATTAAATTAATTTGAATACAAATATTATTATGACTACTCATCTTTTATTATTCTCAAGAGACAGAAAAAGTCCAAAAAATTATTTATCATATTTAATTAATTTTTTATAAAAATATT